CATCGACGAGCCTTTCTTTTCTTTCCGTGCCTGTTTACCGTTTAACCTAACCTCTATAGAAGTCTGCAACGTTTACTTTCGTAACGAGTAAATACTGCAAGGGGAATATAACTTGTGCCAGAAATTATTTGCATAACTAGTTTTAAAACGAATCGAACAAAGAGTTCGAACGATGCCCTAACCTAACCCAGATTCGCTGGCGTCGAGTTTCGTGCAAAGTCGAAGCGTGCAGCCTACAATTTAACCATTACATTGTATCCGTCATTGGATCAACTGCGTCCTAATCGACTCGAGTATCGTATAAAAAAACGTAACACCCTAACTTCGGTTCGTGTTTTTACAAGGCTCGAGCGTCCTCTTAATGAGATGATTCTTAACAGCGTTCGAGGGTCACCGTGTCGACCGAGTGTGCATTGTGCACATCTCGCGAACGTGCGCGCGCATTCGCAGATACGACCCACGCCTGGATGTCACGACACAACGCTTCCCGACCCACACGATCAATTTACAATTTAATTTTTTTTTATTCTCATTTAACGAATAACGGATAAACAGATACATCTTCTTCGCCGTTAGACGGTTCTATCTAAACGAGAATTTTACGCGTCCAGCGACTGCAGTTGCTATACTTCTACGCCCTTGGGAGTGGATATGAAAACGCGGGATTAGCCCCCCACGCGACTGGATGGGGGAACCATTCTCGTGTCTCCGTTCGGCGCTACCGCAGACGATATTAATAATATATCCCTTCGACAAACAACTTATCGAGCCCCCTCCTGCCATCCCGAGCGAGGTTAGAGTGTCTTTTTACCGCGGCGTCGTTTACGCGTGTAAACCAAAAACCGCAGATGCGTCGTAACTTTGCATAACAGTGTATTCTTCTTGTCACTTTAGCGCCGTGGTTTCGACTCGAATCGTTACGAATATAATACAATGTATCGATAAAATATTTTAAAGTTTTGTCTGTTGATTTTTAGTCACGTCTCCCCTTTCCGCTGGTTAAATTTCAGATAACAGATATTCACGGGGAATGGTTTATCTGCTCGCCACGGAAATGACATCATAAGTCGCATCGTGGCTGAAAAGGGGGAGGGGGCCCGGTCAGACGCGCGCAGCCCGTAAATTATTCTCGTCCAGCGTAAACATTAAACAACCCATCGTTCATACGTACGAGAACGGGGGAGACCGCGAGGAAAGAAAGAAAGTTCCACTTTTACCGCTGCTCTAGCTCCTGTCGAAAAGCTTTTTATACGTGGTCGACCGTTTGAAAACTGTTGCGTCAATATACCTGCGGTTCGATTTAATTTCACGCGTCACGCAGCTTTTGTACCGCTGGCAAATTATTCGCCTATGTACGTAACAACGAAAGTAAAAATCGCCGACACGGGGGAACAAAAACTATCGTAAAAATCAAAAAAACGGCAACGTTCGCCTTAAACGTCAATAAAGAAAGTCGATGGAGCGACGATAATTATTTTTTTTTTTTTCATCGGGGGTTCGTGGTGTCACGGTTCAGTAGGTTTACGTAATTTGGCTGATCTAGCGCAAACGAAATAAAACAACCAACGAAACTTGGCACAGCTGAAAGTTGAACCCAATTTGGGCATCCAACTTGCGTACTTTTTACTACTTCATCTTGTATTTGCCCCACTTGCTCGACAGTGCGAGGTGATTTACGCGGTTAAAATAAATTACCGCGAGTCATTTTTTCGCGCTGCACGCGGAATGCTTTTTCAAAACAATAGCATCGACGAAAAAACGATTCTACGCGTTGCAATCGTATTTACGATACCTTCTAGAATCGTTAAAAAAAGAAAAAAAGAGGTAATTATGTCGTCCTATTTAAACTACAGGCTTTAACCTCGAATCCTTCTAGAAAAAGACGGTGACCAATTATTTTTATGCATGATATTTATCGTTCGGTACGGACGACCGTATCGCGAACCGAGATAATTAGGGATTTTGTACGGTCCAATGAAAGCGAGGTATGTCGTTATGTTCAACGGCCCCAAACTGCCGTCGAAATAAACGATATAATCTGCAAATAACTTCGCTTTCATGGATTACGTAATGGTCATCCTTATGCCCTACTTGCGATACATTGCGAAACACGGGGAGGGGGGTTTATGTAATAAACGGCGAAAAACATCGAGCATATTAAATATCCTACGGAACGATTACGATCGTGTATCGGCAGTTTATTGGAAATACTCTCACGCGAGTCTGCCTCTCGATATTACCGTTAACGAGTCCGATTACCAAATATTTCATCGATCGGTTTCAAAACAGCTTCGTTTTCCCCTTGATTGACACTTTTGACTGCCACGACACCTATGGGTGACAGAATTTACTATTAGGATATCAGAATAATTGTTAATTTTAACAACGAATGAAACAAATTTTAGGTTATGTAGCTTACAATGGTCTAAAATCAACATTTTACTTTTGCAGAATATTATACGTTACTTTTCGTATGTTTCCCATACTGTGTCACCGATCGTAACAACATAACCTGTAACAAGGTTACGCGAAGGGAATGAAAAATTTGATGCTACCAACGTTTCGTTCTCGTTCGAAATCTACCGATTAGATTAAGTCGTGTACGGACGACTCTATCGCTGACGATTACACAAGCTTATCTACCCTTCCTGCAAACCAACTCGTCCTACTGTACAAACTTAGTCTAATGAATGGTCACCATAAAGATCATAGAATTATTGCGCGGGAAGACCGGCGCATCCTAACCTAACGCGAACGTGGGCCGAGATCTTCCCTTCCGGCAAATTTATGCTCAACCTTTCACTTACTATCTCTGACTTCACTCCGCCCTCGCCAAACGCATAAATTTTATGCAAATTGTCTAATTTTAATTTACAATTCGATCGAATAAACGTCGCAAATAAATACTGGATGTTCTGCTATTCCTGGGAAAAATTCTAATGGGGTATTCTAAAGCCCAAAATAAGACGAAAATCAAGAATACCAATTTGTTGATGGAGGCTTCGTTGAAAAGTTATTAACGTTTAAAGTTTCACCCCTACTCGAATTTTTTGGTAGAAAATGAGTAGGATTTCGGGGGTATGCCTATTCACAAAAAATGAGTGTAATTGACCCCCACAACTGAAAATAATTTTTCCAGAACGATTTGAAATTTTTTTTCCCGTCGTAAAATTTCACACCTTCTCGAATTTTTTCTGGAAAGTGGGCAGGAATTCGGGGGTATGTTTACTCGCCAAAAATGTTTGTAATTAACCCCCAGAACCAAAAATAATTTTTCCAGAACGATTTGAAATTTTTTTTTCTGACGAAAAATTTCACACCTCGAATTTTTTTCTGGAAAATGGGTAGGAATTCGGGGGTATGTCTATTCACCAAAAATGATTGTAATTGATCCCCGTAACCAAAAATAATTTTTCCAAAACGATTTGAAATTCTTAAATTTAATTGTTAATAACTTTTTAACGAAGCCTCAGTCAAGAAATTGATATTCTTGATTTTCGTCTTATTTCGGCCTCTAGAATCTCCCATTAAAATTTTTCCCATGGTTGATCGAACACCCTGTATATGGGATTCGTAGGTCACTTATTGTTTGAACAAAATATTCAACGATCAATTTTTTAACGCGTGCAGAGTAATTACACGGGTTTCCGTGTTTTAATTAATCAATAACGGAAGCCTGGAAGTCCGTACTTTAATTAATTAACAACGGTCGCTGTCACGTCGCTTGAAACGCTCTTAACCGAATGACACACAACGAATCCTTTGCGAAGGAATACTACCACCTAAAAAATCTAACCTAGACGGTATCGCGTTTTCACTTTCCCATGCTAGGGAAATAATCAGTTCCGCTGTTCAGTTAAACAAAAAAAGGGGCAACAATTTTATCCCGTATCGGAGAGGTTAAAAACGGATGAATTCGAGAAGACGAAAGGCGGTATAGCCGTTGGTCAAACGTAGGCGTACACAGGGGTTAATTGACAAATCGATAATTCTCCGAACATCGGGCTAATCGGGTGAAAGACCCCTTCGCGGTGCTACGCAAAGCGCACGAAAGAAACCCTCGTTCGTCTCGAGCATTAAAATTTTCGAGAAAAACAATCCCGTCCATCTCTGGCGGAAAGCGTGACCGCGATATTATTTCTGATGCACCTCATTGTGCTCTGGGGAGAGAGGACCAAGAAAAAAAATTATCATTACGCAACAAGAGCGGGAATGACATCTGTTGGTATCGGCGGAGATAGGCAAACACGTTCTTATCCGGATAAAAATGTCGATCAGCGAATAAAATTTAGAATCTTAATTACGGAATAAAATTATATTCCATGTCGTTTATTATTCGAATAAAATGTAACCTCGTCTCTGCGTATCAGCTTCCGAGTGGTCTGCGCCAGGCTCGAGAACGATTTCCAAATAAAATACGTGGGAACGCCGAGCGGTCGGAAGTTGGCTATTTCTGTGTCGTTGCGATTCCGTTTCGAATTTCTACTCTACGCTCGAACAATGTTTTTCTCCGTGCGAACGTTTACACTTTCATGACAGAGAAATCGTTCGGACATCGAACGTCGATCGAACTTGAAAATACGGTTGCACCGTGAAACGTGAATTCGGCTGTTACCAGGTTGATAAGATCGTATTTTTCAAGCACAACCGACACGCACGATCGAATCGGCATCGTTTAATCGTATCCGCATCGGTATACAAACACTCGCGATTAAGCACGGACGAAAACTAATTACGGGAGGCTCGACACTCGGATATCTTCCCACTTGTTCTTATTGGGTGATAACATCTATCCAGGAAGGGGGGTGCGACGCCACTGATTTTACGAATCGATCGTTACCATTCGGACCGACATCGAGGAACATCTTACCAACGAAAATCGGATACAACCATGGAAGTTGTCGCGAATAAAAGGGGAAAACGAACTTATTTCAAACGCATCCCCTCGAATAACGGGGTACGAAATCGATAACCTATACGAGAAGGGCACTGCCTCTTACCTCGTACGCTACGTTGGATCCTCGTTGCCAGATGAAAGGATTGAGTTTCTAATGTTCTCGTTGATACTTATCCGTCGGTTGCAACGTGAACGCACATTTGTTCACGGGACGACGATGCGGTCGGTCTCGTTGAGGCGTGCCGGTTGAATTTCCGACGTGAATTTCACAAGGAAAGAAATTCCTCTCGAGGAAACCGAACGAATCGTCGAGAGAATGGAGCGCGTGTTCTATTGCTTTTTGGCTCGACAAAATCGCGTGTTTCACGGTGCGGGTTCGTTCAACGACTCGCAGTTTCTGTCTTGCACACAACTATCGCACCACTTTGAGAGCACTTCGCGGATCGACTGGCAACTAACATTCGTACGGACCACCGTTGCTTTGATCGGAGAACGAGAGCAATACGGGCTCTCTCCAGCAACAGCCAGCGACAACTGGCGACGGCAACTAACGACCCCTATGCGCACCCTTCCGACGACTGGTAAACTAGACGCTCGAGGGAACAATGGGACCGGTCGTGTTGCACGAAAAAAGAATTCAGAACGGAATACACTTGTTTTCGGGCGCTCTGAAACGCAAACAATTTACATCTTAAAAACACATGGTTTTGTAACAAAAAAGATGCCCGTTTGTAAGATCTTTATTTCAGGCAATCGATTACACAACATTAAATGAAAGTAAAATAAATATAGTCGTTAAAAGAATGTTTCACGTATAATCTTTCATGCTGTGGGTTAATGTCATTAAAGCATTTTCCATGGCCTTCCTCTCAGTCTCGTTTCTCAGAGTGTACCACATTTTTTCTAATTTCTTTTGCTGGTATTTCTGGAAGATTTATGCGAACGTATTTAATAAACCGCACGTTCCCACGATTATTGTTCGTAGGTTTAACTGTACAAGATTAAGAGATTTGCATACTTTGATAAAAAGGAAACAATGTTTCATCGTGGCCCCCACATAGAGTATTTTTACGGACACTAAACGCCCTGCGATATCGTTCAATCGTGGAAGGGACTTTAATAAAAACTTGTGTGGACCGTGTCTGGTTTTTACCAACGCTATTCTCGTGTGAGCGTTACAATACTTCGCTAAAAATTTGTTTAAAAAACACTTCTAAAGATTCTTAAAAACGATTATCACGACGCAATTTTTACATTACCGTTGAACCCCGCTTTTATTGCAGCCACACCAAAATCACCATACAATTTTTCTACTATTTGTTGAATAGCATTGTGTAGACTAGTGATTTTAAGCGGGAAAGGCTTATCAGACTTATCACCAAGTGTTATTTCGAACGCTATATACCTATGAGTATGTTTCACATTAGACATATATTACGCATAAGGTAATACAATAAACGAACAACCAACAATACGTTGTTCAGAATAAATCACGTACAACTGATCTATACAATTCGATTCTATGAGAAATTTTATTACCTGTTCTTAAAGCGTACCATGTTTTTAGGTTATGTGACGTGTAAAATGACGATGTTCTTGCAGAGTCGACGCTCAAGAACCGAATATGCGCCAATTACGTGAACCAAACGTCATTTTCTGCAAATTAATAATCCACCACTGTTAAATTATATGCTTTATAGGATGTGATCCGGAAAACACCACCACGTGCGTTACTTTCGCTACTCGATACACAAGGTTCGGTTAGGTTATTATCAAATACAATCATTGCGCACGTGCGTACTGTAACGTGCGAACATATTTTCGATTCCATGTTCCAACAGTAGGATTTTTAATTTTTTATTTTGATCGTGTCATCTAGTTCTTAATACCTTTTTTCTTTCGAACAGCGGAACGTAATCGTACGTAAAATGTTAAAAATTAACATTCGAACCGTCGAACGATCTGGTAAAAAATTATTTAAGGTAATGTATCCTGGAATTTTTTATGCACGCGTACTTCCTTATACGGATTTACGTGTTTCCCGTCTTATATAATATCGTTGCACTTTATTTTCAGCATTAATCTCATTGATTAGATATTGCCATACAGCGTGTAACGTGAATATTTAAAGCCTTAAACGATTATTAATATAAAAGGAACTTATTGGTAATTATTATTTTCCACTATACTGCTTTTTTTTTTTTATACACGCATGACGAAATTAATAAAATTCTACATAGGGTCAAACTATTGCTTATACTATTAATAAACGTATTTCTTAATACTGTGTTATCTCAGGGTCATACGATATTAAAAAGTCTATGATTACTGTAAAGCTGTATGTGATAACGGTTGTGTACACTTAATTTACAGCTCATGATGATTCTATTCAAAGTGGAACATTCAGTTGGCTTCTCCTGACGAAAGACACAACCCTAGCACGTTTGTTTAAAGGAGCTAGACATGGATTATTTTGTTGGCGTGGATGTAGGAACAGGGAGTGCTCGCGCTGCTTTGGTATCCTCTAAAGGAAAAATAGTAAAAGTGGCAACTTGTCCATTGGAAATCTTTCATCCTGCACACAATTTCTACGAACAATCGTCTGATAATATTTGGAGTGCAGTTTGTCATGTAGTGAAGGTAGGACTTAAAAAAAACTTTATAAGTAGAGATAGATCCAACTCTATTCGTATTGTCAGAGTATAATATCTCCTACTTTATTTAAAGTCGGTTGTAGCTGATATCTCTGCAGAGAATGTGAAAGGTATTGGTTTTGATGCTACTTGTTCATTGGTAGCAGTGGATAAAACAGGATCACCGGTCACAGTGAGTCCCACAGGTACGTGCAAAAAAGTATCATAATATTAATTTTGCTTAGACAAAATGTATCCTCCTATCGTTTAAATTCTCGTTGCAGGAGAAGACAAGCAAAATGTTATATTATGGATGGATCATAGGGCACAGGAAGAAGCTGATTTCATAAATGCACAAGGTCACGAAATGCTCCATTATGTCGGTGGAAAGATATCATTGGAAATGGAGACCCCAAAAATGCTATGGCTTAAAAAAAATCTACCTTCGTCTTGGAATCGCGCGGCGTTACTTTTTGATCTGCCCGATTTCCTAACGTGGAAAGCAACAGGTTCCGAATCGAGGTAATAGACTTATTCTACTCCAACGAATAACACGAATGACACGATAAAACTGATCCGATTTCAGATCTCTGTGCTCTTTAGTATGTAAATGGAACTACAGCGCTAGTCCAGACGGTAACAATAAATGGAACGAGGAATTTTTTGATCAGATTCATTTGAACGATCTTAAGAAGGATAAATGGCGAAAAATAGGTATTAATGGGTAGCGTGTGTTAGGACGGATAATATGAAAATATTACCTTTAATAAAGAGAACTATTAATACGAAGGTAATGACGTGAAGACCCCCGGCGATCCAATTGATCAAGGATTGTCAGTGAAAGGTGCGTCTGATTTGGGACTTTTGAAAGGAACAGCCGTGGGTACTTCCCTTATCGATGCACATGCCGGTGGACTTGGTATGATAGGCTGTTCCGTACCTGGCACATCTTGGAATTTACAAAACAGATTAGGTGAGCAATTCTTTTCTACCACTCTCGGCTTTTATTAATTTTTTGTGCAATTTCCAGCATTGATTTGTGGTACCTCAACCTGCCACATGATAGTCAATGAAAAGAAGCTATTTGTTAATGGTATTTGGGGGCCGTACTTCAGTGCCATGATTCCAGGCTTGTGGTTAAACGAAGGCGGACAAAGCGCGACCGGAAAGCTACTCGATCACATAATTGACACTCATCCAGCAACGCCAGGAATATTAAAAACTTTAAGCGGCAACAAGTGAGCATTTATCGATAAACGATACAATAAAACGTACTACCGGTTCGTCTACCTATTGCTACATTATTTTCTAGGCACATACAACAATACTTGTCCGAACTGTTGCAAAAAATGGCAGAACAAAAAGGTTTGAAAAATGTCTCCTACTTGACGAAAGATATCCACGTTTGGCCCGACTTTCATGGGAACCGTTCCCCTCTGGCCGATCCAAGCCTTAAAGGAATGGTAATAATACAATATTTCTTTTATGCAACGAACGTTTCATTTCCATACAGACTTTTATCGTTCGATGTTATGTAGATATCGGGACTGTCTTTGTCGGTAGATCAGGACAATCTCGCGTTACTCTATTTGGCAACAGTCCAAGCACTGACGGTACGAATGTTTATATTATTTTGGCCAAGAAATCGTTTTAAATCAGCGCGAACTGAATTTTCAATTTCCCAACAGTATGGTACGAAGCATATTTTGGAAACATTAGAAGCTGCTGGTCATAAACTGGAGGAATTATTAGTTTGCGGTGGTCTGAGCCTGAACCCTTTATTTATTCAAATACAAGCAGACGTGTTAGGTTTGCCTGTACTTTGCCCTATTGAAAGGGAATCGGTATTGATAGGAGCTGCAATTCTTGGATCGTACGCGGCTAAAAAATTCAATACTATATACGACGCTATGAGAGCAATAGGAGGATCTGCAAATATCGTTAAACCTAAAACCGAGTGCTACAAGTAAGCGGACATACTAAACGAGAAATATTTTTAATTGGTCTATGAATGCACACTACGTGTCACTTGTTTTGTTCAAGGTATCATCTCCAGAAATATCGAGTTTTCCGAAGTATGGTACAACACCAGAAAGATTACAGAAAAATTATGAACGAAGACATTTCCTAACCGTCGACACAGCTGTTCCGTGTTTTACGAAGAATCTCATGATAAGAGACTAGTATAGAAAGAAACGCTACTTACATAATTCTTTTTATCAATTAAAAATCTATTTTATATATACGAAATCGATTGTAAAGAGATATTTTTGTTATGTATTTTATCTTTTTATCCTTGTTTGTTACAAATAAAGATATACGCGAAACTGATCCAGTGGAGTTTCTTGTCCCGAGTGTAGGTGTGCCAGAAACCGAAAATATCAAAATATAATGTGATTACGTTCGCCGTGATTCGATTACATGTACTTGCACGACGATTAGGCAATTATTACACGCTTCAAACGTTTACAACTAGATCGTGATTAGACGATAATTACTGCGTGTACGTGTAATCGTATCGTGATAAATGTAATCAGATTACATTTTGCCTAACCCTATTCCTGAGAATGTTCGATGTATTCAGACACGTATTAAAGGAAAGGCTGAATTATATTTCATAAAGTTATGAAATTATGAAAGTTGAAAAATCTTCCAAATTTTATAATTTCGAATGAACATTCTCAGGAACCCAACCCAACCATCGAATTCCAACACACCCCTGTCGAACGACAGAACACGATGATATGAAATTCTATTGCTTTATTTGGTATTGAAGTATGGATTTGAAAATTTACATACAATGCGGTACAATGTTTTCGTTACAAATATTTTGGTACAAAACGCGTAATTTTACTTATTGCATATTTCACGCTAAAAATTGTTCAACAACACTCGTATAAACGTATAACGATAACAATATTGCTAGTCGTTCGATCGTTATAAAAATATTAAAAAGCTTCTTAATCAAAACGTTCTTAATGAAAAATTTTCCTTCTTTCAATATCATTATATATAAACTTATAAAATGGTGTTACCAACTACTTAGAAATAAGCGGTACTAATATATAGTACACTTGGCGTTAATTTCAATTAACTTACAATAAGAAGAATATTTTCTTATCTCTCTAACCTGCAATATATCATTTTTTTTTTTACCACACGAAGTAACGTCATTATCACATAGTTCTTGAAAATTTTACAACCTTGATATTTCTATTCCTTTTTTAATGATGCGATTCAAGAAAAGAATGAAAATAATATTTGTATATCACAAAGTCGGTTTTATCACAATGCGATCCGGCGAACTTCCGGCGACCGAAATTTGGGGAAAAAAACCGACAATAATTAACTTACATTATAGTTGATTTGCAGCATATAATTTAAAATAATACTGGTATAAAAACTTTGGATAAAACTCTAGTATTTCATTAAGTATTACAACTGTCAATTATTGTGTAATATAATATTAACTGACAATCGTTCAAGGACACCTAACTATTTCTAATTCAAATACTGGTACTAATTGCACCAGACATTTTACATTTCACTTTAAATCGATTAATTTTCTGTAAGACAATTTGAATAGGTGACATTGTGCATGTTTTAATTATAAATTGATAATTTGTTATTAAAAAGAAAAAAAAAAGAGAACAGATTATTTTCGTAAAAAATTCGTCAAAACTTTTAATCGAACGTTATAATTTTATTTGATTTTCATAATAATTTGGTATCATATCAATATCATTGTCAGTCTTTTAATAGCTAGTTTTTCAACCTAAATTCATAAAAAAGTGAAAAATCTTAAGCAAACAGTACCTTTTAAATGTGCTTTAACAGATTCAAGTTTCATATAATGATATAGCTCTAACTAGTCAACAATCCTCATAAACATTTAACTTCAAAATGATTTATATTTTGATATTTGGAAGACACAAAGTGCGTGTTTCAGTTAAATATTGAAACGTATTCTCCTCTTTACGAACATACTTCTTGTAGTATATATATATATATATATATATATGTATACTTCCTTTATAAGTATTATTTTTTTTTTTCTAATTTCAATAAGGCCATTTGTGCAACTTGTGCAATCAAGACGCAATAACATTGCCAATTCAACTGGCAATTGTCGTCCGCCCCCCCCCCTATTACTAAGTATTAATTCGAATTAAAGTATTATTTCGTAAAACCTTATTTTAGAAAAAATATGTCATTTGCTAACAGTTGATATTGCTTGTAATAATAGAAAAACAGACTAAAATTAGTTGAAAAATACTGAAATAAATCAGTTCAAACAAAGCGATAACATTCTGCAATGTGATTAAGCATGTACTGAAATGCCATGGAAGGTGACGTACCGAATCTTTGTCTCCATAAATGCTTTGCTATTATACGCTGTCCTAGGTTGTGTGTAGTTTCTTGAACGTCTTCGCAAATTTCGACGCTGGTTTGCCATATTGTTTCTTAAAATACAGGACAATTTTATGAAGAACAATGCATCGAACGAAGTTACTCGAACAATTAAAAATAAATACATACCTAAATTGTTCAGAAGTTTGCTTTTACCCGGCGGATCAAACTTTTGCAGGTGTTCGACACTGATCACCTTGTATTGTTTCAATTCCCGAAGTGATTCATAGCTGCAACAACGTGCTCGGCTATTCGCCACGATATAACTACCGGGAGCACTATGTTTCATGATTTCTGTTAGAGTTTCTTTAACCATATTGCATTTATCAATATCCCCGTGAGATTTATCTATTTTGATTGGCTAGAATGAAACACAGCATACATTAAAAACATTGACAGCAAAATTTAAATAATAAAAGAAACAATTTTGCAATTTCGAACAAAGTTTCATTTGCCTTTCCCGTTTTAATATGTATAAATGTATAAGGCATCTGATACCTCTGGAATTGCTTCGATCATGTGTAACCACATACGAGTCGGTATAGTATTTGCTTCAGCTATACACAGTATGGTATGAGAGTTATTATTGCGTTTCTTGGCAGTAGTAATATCTGATGGGTTCTCTGTCATATATCCATTAGGGAATTCATCCACAATTAATATTGCACTTTGACCTCCCAAAACCCAATCTTCCGGATGAGTCGCTACATAATTTTCGGAAACTTCGTCGCATCTTTCGTATACTTTCTTAACTACGTGTTTCTTTATTTCTAAAAAAAAAAAACAATTGGAATATTTATAATTGTTTTCGGAGATACGTATTATGGTAATTGTTTGATAGTTTGATTCAATTTTTCTTATACCTAAATAATTGGCAGTAAGTTCGCTAGGTATCATTTGACACCACCCTAATATCAGTTGAAGGCACATTTTCAGGTCGCATTTGATTCCAACGAAAAAGGAATTTTCTCTTATAGATTGTTTCCTTGTACAATTCGGACAGGACCAACTATATTTATCTACAATTCTTGCTTGATTCCAAGCCAAACTTCTCCCTTTACATTCGGGATGAGGGCAATTGGAAACAGTCCTGATCAAACTCATTTCTTTCAACCACCCGCACAGCTCTCCTTCGTGTCCTTGCTGCAGCATTGGACGTACCACGACGTCAAAGTATCCCCCTTGATCTCCAAAACGCTCCATACATTGTCTAAAAACAAACACAACAATTAGAACAAGAGACAAACAAATTTTTCTTAGTCATTCATAAGAATTTTTAATTCCAATTCATCAATATTAAAAACTTCGAATGAATTAACTAACACGTGCAGATGCAAACGTTATTTATCAAAGGTCGTTAGGTTATAATTTTCGTAAGTTAGTACTAATAATTCTTTGATTATTTATAACATTTTTGTATAATAAATTGTATCGTATTACCGATTATCTTTATTCTAAAGCGCTTCTGTTCGAAAAGCAGTAACTACTATAATCGGAACGGCGTACAACAAAGTAACCTAATAACCTTTCATTTTTACAACCATATAAAATAATATTCTTAACCAAACTGTATTTTATTTAACAAATATTAATTACGTAATGTAAACGAAAAGCGAGAACACGTTTGGTGATATGAGAATGAAATAAACTTACGGTACCCTAGTATGTGTAAAAAGTGGGAGAGGAAAATCAATACTCTCTCGAGTTAAATATAACTTTCTTATTCTTAATATAATGTGGGAAAATTTTTAGGAATGTCATTGCCCATCGAACGAGAATGAATTGTTGTACGAATAAAAATCGTGCAGAACGTTGTTAAAAGAAAAATAGTAACAAAATGAACAATGATAGTTTTTTCGCGTAGCAGAAGCAACAAGTACAATTAAATCAAAACTGTTCTCGCGAAGAGCACTCGTTACCTCGCTTTGACTTTTGCGTTTTTCATCATCGATGTAGAAGTCACGCTCGACCGACACTAGACAACTTCGAAGGAATAAATGAAAGCTTATAACATTTTTAAACGAACTAAAATGTAAACAAAAACGAGGCACAACAAGGAACCACAAAAGACCCGCGGACCAACGTCGACCTTACGCATCCATCGCGCAGCGACTTCTACTGTCGTCGAGATACGGGCCAACCACACGATACAATTTTATACTATGTCGATAAAGAAGGGGAGCACGTTGGTTCGCGGATTTTTACAATTTTCTATTCACAAAATCGAAAGCACGGAGCACAGGTGCTATTTTGTTTTCAGATGAAAAAAAAACAGTTTCATGTTCGAAATAAAAGAAGCTCCCTTTCGATTAAATACCTTTTTTGTATTTCTTTTTGTTTTTTTTATTATGAACATGTTTTACAAAGCAAAATTGTGTAATGGTGGAAATGGTGGATATCGGTGGAGGCTGGAAACTACAGAATCAGTGTTGGTGGGCCACAATTCAACAAGATTTCCAGAAAAGTGAGTGCGGGTAAAGGGGCATCGGCACAGTAATATAAAAAGTACTCTTCAAGAGACAGCATGAAGGATTAGGCCGGCACATTCATTCATCATTTTTTCTACATATACACAAGTACACTGCACTTTCATATGTATGCCTTTAAAACAATGAACATACGATTCGTATTTTCCTCTTCAATGTCTTTGCTCCACCTGGATTTTATACGTCCATTACTCAATCTATGCTTCCTCGAGAAATCTAGCGCGATTAGAACCGATCAATTTTGTACACTTGTTTCGCTATTATACGTTTGCTCAATAGAAGTTTTGTTATTGAAATAAAAAGAAATTCTTTCCGCGTCTACGTTTTACGGCCACCTTCGTTTTAACCCATTTGCATCGTTGGCGTATACATATATGTATACTAACATTCACATCGTGATCAATGGCCAAGAACAAATCATTGAAATATTAAAATAAAAGAAAAATTGACGGCGAAGGCATATTTTTTTATTCTTTCGTACGATGCAACCGAATTAATGTGTCTAAAGTGTATATACCCAAAAGGGGGTGGATAAAATGTTTTAATTTTAGTTTCTACACGTTATATGTATACCGAATTAATTTTTTAGATAAAAGAATAACGAAGGTAGCGTCAAGAAGCTATCTAAAAATCCGTAAAATTGTTCAAATTCACGCAAGCGATCTCCGTGACACGATACCCGATGGGAAATTAATTGTATCGGAATGCAGCTGTGTTTTACACATGCTGGCCTGGCGCGAAAATGATGGATCGATACCAATGATGAATTTTGTTTTCGTTTAATGATCGACGATGAAAAATCAATCGTACAATTCGAGCATCGAAATAGCGAACCGCCGGTTGTGCAGAGGTTTCGCTCATGTAGTAGTGATACGCGACGTCACACTGAACTCTATTTAATATTTACAAATGAGATCGATTATTAAAAAGTAATGAGCAATTACCTTGTTCCGTTTTTTTTTTTTTTTTTTTTTCTTTTAAACCTCTTCTTTTTTTTTTCATTTACTTTTAATATATCATAGAGCGTGCATAGGAAGGCGCAGTCCAAATGATTTTTCACAACAAAAATATTATTCAGTCATACCACACCCTGCGAGAGCCGACGAAAAAACGTGAACATGTTAGAATTACGGTACGTTTCTTTTTTTTTTTTCCATTTTTTGTTTCTCTTGACTAACAGTAATGGCGACTGGCAGACAAACAGACAAGTTTGGCAGGCATGGTGAACATAAAAATCAAACATGTACACGCGACACGAGTTTACCAGACCTTTCCTTTCTATCCTATCATCACTCTCATTCTCTGCTTCTCTCAACATCATTAACTCTTACGTATTCCTTAGTTTCTATGTCCATGAGGTCCTATAATATTATAACATAGGCTTTAGTACGCTATATCGTAAGCTATACTAAAAACTACCCACCGCTGCGTCGCCAACTACACGCGGCGCAGCAATTTTTCTTAATTAATATTAGGAATATCGGCAGTGAAATTCCAATGATAGACGCGGCAGGCAGGCGGTCAGTCCAGCAATGTCTGTGGGCACTTGCGCTGCTCCCGGGTGCATAACGGATTAAAACTGATCGATCGGGGTGCCCCGCGCGATAATTTTTACCATTTATCGTCGACATTCGCGCGAAAAACGTCTTGCGAGGATGAATGAATTTAAAAATTAGGTGGGGCACCCCACTGTTCGAACAGAGCGATCTCGGATCCTTATTCTCTCCACCATGGCACCATCATCGTCATCATATTCACCATCGCTTCGTAACGTCATCTCGGTCTTATACTCTATCGTTTGTTTCTTTTTTTTGTTTGTTTGTTTTCTTTTCTTCTTCCTCTTCTTCTTCTTTTTTTTTTTTTTTTTGTTAGTTTTTTGTTTTTTGAAAAATAATTTCTTTACAATACTTCTTCGTGTGTCCGATCCGCGACGCAGCGGATCGCCAGTGTCATCGCTTGTTGCTCGATGAATCGATCGGAAAGAACGAAAAACAGCGTCGAATTGTCCGAAACATAAAAAGTTACTAAGATTACAAATCACAAATGAAATCACAGACTTTCGTTGGTGGTTTGACAGAGGGGAGGGGGCCGCACATTGCAATTAGAACAACATTGTAGGCGTGTCGTCGTCGTCGTCATCGGGGAAAGTTTGTCGGGTGTTTCTGCATCGGGGTGAACATCCGTTGTCCTGCCCCTGGACGATTTATTCCCACCCATTCTCCTTGATCATGTGAGCAAGCTCGATTATAAACTTGCCCTCTTTATACTTCTGACTTGACTCGAACGCGTGCTCCTGGAATATTTCAACCGTTATAAACATAACACGTACACGTTACAAGCAAAAAGATAGCGCGCAGGATGTCCACAGGTTAACCACGGCGCATCCTGTATATACAGGGTGGGACACTTCTGAATAACTTGGCTGCTATTGGTGATAGGAAAAAATTAGTTGGTATCGAGGGTACGAAGGTTTTGTTACTTACATCCTGATGGAGTATTAGACGAATACAATGATTTATGGAAAATAATTTACTTTGAGGAAATGATCAAGCACCCGTTGATTTATTTATCTAACAGTAATACACGACTAATATGAGTGTTCAAAATGGTGACCTTGAACACTATCACCCAATAGCAGCCAAAGTTATTCAGGTGGCCGGTGTTAAGTACCTCACCCTGTACAAGCATGCCTAATGATGTTAACATGTATAATAAAATATTTATTCTCTGTAATGCATCGTACAAAATATGACAAAATGTGCTATCTTTTTGCCCCCGGGGGTGCAGGATAACGCTCATTCGGGAGAGCAAAAACTCACGTATTTCCACCCAAGGGTGGTCTTGCAACATTCGCAGTAAATATCAGCGACGGCATGAAGGCCAGTCAACAGAACTCGCTCCTCCGCAGGACCACAGCCCACATTCACTCTAAAATAACAAAGAGACATCTTTATTGCGGCTGTTCGCGCACACGTTAACATACAAAAGCGTAAATAAATATTCGACGCGTCTTCCACGGATTGAAATTGATGCCGCAATATTCATCTTGACCGAGAAATCAATTTTTGATGGATTTTTGCGAGAAGACGGTTCGTTGGAGAGATGAATACGCAAAGAAAAAAAAATAAAAAAATAAAAAAATTATGGTTACGTTTCAAAGTCAGGATGAACGTTGCAGTGCTTTTGCACAGTTTGCGAAAAAACTGCGGACGGACAGTTTTATTATTTGCACCCTGTAGAGCGCATCAAGAGCGACACACGAGTTCCTCGGGTAGAATAACGTGTCCTACTTTCTACGACGATTCGATCTCGGGCTGCGAGGGCAGGCATTAGCATACTTACACGGAATTAAAGAGATAGGCACGACCTTGACTGCCCTGGAAGGACTGCAAATCGAAAAGGAAAAACCGTGTTAGCGTTGCGTTACCGGTCGAACACTGTGTGAACACGGTGTATATATATGTATATATAACTGAGAGCGGAAGAAGTGAATGCGAGAAGTCAGTCCGTTACCTGATCTATCACGGCTCACCTTAGAGATGAGTTCGTCGTGGTTGGCGAGGTGAGCACGGCAGTGAATGCACGAGTAAGTGCGGTGACACGAGGGCAGGTACGCTTGAAAAGTTTTGACCATGATGGCGTGTCCAAGCAAGCAAAGAGACCTCTTCCTCTTGCCCTTGTCGTCGTCTTCTTTTTTTCTTTGTCGTCGTCGTCGTCGCTGTCGTCGTTCTCCTCTACTCCGCTTATCAAGTGTCGTCGAGACGCTTTTCTCCCGTGTGTGGCGAACGTCTGGCCGTTAACCAGCGACGATTATTGAATTGAATTTCTTCCAATCGCGGGGTGGTGGTGCAATAGTGGCCCCGTTCACCGCCGCTTCGTACTCCGATCAGCTGTTGAGCTGGTTCAGACAGCGCCGGTTCGGGGACACCTGTGAACCGATTTTTTATTTCTTTCATTTCCCGTCTAACCGCGCCTTTCAAAAGAAAACCGGTATCAAAAAATATAGGGGGGAAAGCATTCCCTTTGCGATGACACCTTTAAAGTTGATCTACGATTATTTGTTGACAAGTTATAGTACTTTGAATGGAAAGCATGGACTCTTTTATGGGTAGCGTCGGCCCTGCACACCAAGTATCCCCACTACTCGCGGCCCCGTGTGTTCCTAACCTCACTTATTGCTTAGCAACCGAGTTTTAATTTCTTTCATTTCCCGTCCAGTCTCGCGTTGGAACGAATTTCGAAAGAAAACAGGTATACAAAAAAATAAGGGGAAAGTCCTTCCCTTTGCAATGACATCTTTAAAATTGATTTACGATTTTTTGTTGCCAAGTTATAATACTTTGAAAGGAAAGCTTGACGTCTTTTATGGGTAGCGTCGGCCCTGCACACCAAGTATCCCCACTACTTGCGGCCCCATGTGTTCCTAACCTTACTTATTGCTTAGCAACCATCCCCTCTATCCGTTCGACACTACGCAATAAACGTGGCTCGCATGCTGTAATCGAGGTCCTACCGAATTACAATCAGAGACTCGATACTGATATGATTATCGTTAAAACGAAATAAATACCGGTATCGTGTCGGTATTTCGAGTGCGAAAATTGTCCGATATCTTCGTTTGTTTGTATTCCATATTATCGATTTGTTACCGAGCGCTATCCCATTCTAGCATACGACGAACTAATAAAATAAAATTTGTTGTAAAATAAAAGGTGGTACCGATTGGGGGTAACTAGTTTTGGTTTAAGGTGTAAGAGCACTGTAAAAATCTGAATAATATTCAAGAATGTTATTAACCATGTCGTTAAGTGTTGAAAAAAAAATATTCAAAACTAGTGCAAAATGACGCAAATGTGTATCTGGAAAAAAAAAGAAAAAATTTATATAATACGTAGGGGATTTTTGAAACAATTTTTGATTGACAAGTATTTGAAGTAGAAAGTTCAATTTTGTTCAAAAAATAGAGCGCCTCAAATTCAAAACACGCTTCACGAGAATGGCTGCAACGCCATCATTTTGCACTATTTTTGAATATTTTTTTTTTAACACTTAACGACATGATTAATAACATTCTCGAATATTACTATCTTGTTACTTTTCCATCCATAAAAAAAAACGCTTTATTACAGAGAAACCGAAAAAGTAATAATACAATAAGATTTGTTCCGTGCCGCGAAATAATAAAGTCTGCGAAAAATACTACTGCAGCGAGCGTGTTTAACATTACCTACTAGCACGCCCACGATGACGACCACTTCGTTGGGATCGTCGTCGTCTGATCTAACGCTCCGACGGTCAATCTGATCGTGAATCTCCTGAAGGAGATGACGTCAAGAGGAATTCGTTGGAGCGAACCAAGATCAGCGAAGCATCGTGGAACGAACGCGCGCGAGACGGATAAATAACATTCGCGTACAAAAGATAGCCGGGCGCTGGCGTTATTTGCTCAAAGAGCGTATTCGCGATTGCGACGCTTACGCACAGAAATCTGCAAGGGTGGGGCATTTTTCTAATTTCTCTCTTCCCCTCGCGCGCGCGAAGAGAAAAAAAAAAAACGTAGCTTTGTTCGTAAGAAATTTGTCGCACCACGGGCCACTGTGCGTCGCCCGAAGGACCGTAACGTTCGACGGCGGATTAAAAATAAAGACGAATATTGGCTCCCGCGCGCGTGTGGTCCCCTTCGGAATCAGTTTTCGCCGCGCGCTCGCTATTTACCCGCTATCGTGTATATTTATTCCGCAACTATCAGTTTCAAGTTATTTATAACGGCCTGTTAAATAACACGCCGCCGAGCGTCAAACAGCAACGACGCGGCTCGCTGCGTTACCGCGAAGGAAAAAACTCCGAATGCGCGTCGATGTGGCTGACGGGGGGGGCGAAGAGGATCACGCCGAGAGAAAGAACAGATAACGTACGGGTATATCCATAAAAATAATGGCGCGACGGGGCAGCGGTGAACAGAAATGCTGCTCGGAACGTTTTGAAGCGCAATAGCATCGATGTTACTCTTTCCGTATCGAGCGACGCCACGTGCTGGCGCGTGTTCAAACAAAGAAAAGAGACAAGGTCTTTATTATGATGCGCCTGAAGAGAGGTTTCTTCTTTATAAGGACGGAGGAAGTGCGGAGGTATTCTCCCTACCCCTCTCCATCCGTCGAGTCTTTCGAATCTCTAGCTCCCCCATTCTTTTTGTTCTTGGGGTTCGGGAGTTGGATTTATCCACATTTCGATAATTACTGTAATCTATTACCGAAACTAATTATAGTAATCATAATCATTAACCCCTTGACGTACAATTACGTGTCTGACTCGTCATAAGCTTATCTCAAGTTTCACGATAACGAAGTTACGTTCGTCATGAAGTCTAACATATTGAAATGTACACGTTTTCCCATACGCGAGTATGTGTAAATACTAGTAGCAATATCATACATGTTATAGGTATTGTGTACAATTTCACACGTGTTTCTTTTCATTTATTCGAAATATAACCTAGGCCTAACCCTGACCATCGGTTCCTAACCGTTTGCCAAATCTTCTCGTGTTTTCATTCCTAGCCAGAGATGCGACTGACCAATACCATTGATTCGGTATCACGTGGCTTTATGTACCTCAGACCTCTGCCAGAAATAAAGACACTTCTCGAACAGAAAATTACCTCAAATGTATCTGATCTCGACCACGAAACGATACGTGAATATCCTCTAACGTGTAATCGTTACGTTCTATCGAAACGATCCAGAAACACAAAGGAGGGAAAGAAATATAAACATCGACGTTTACGATTCAGTTCAAGGACTCGTAATTAAAATATATCATTAATATGAATGAAGACTTGTACAATTGTAATCGTCGTGTGTTAAACGTGTACCGCGTACCCGAGTCACGTGGTTGCATACGTTTATATGTACACAAACAAAGGCGAGACAAGGCCTTTGTTTTGTTATACCGAAGACGGAATAACGAACGTTCTTTATAAGGATAGAAGAAGAACGGCAACCTCCTCCTCTTGTTTGGATTTGGTCGCCAGACGTTTTTTGCGGCTTTAACCCCCCCCCGTTCGTCTGTCGGTTCCACCATTCCTTCTGCGCTCCTGCTACGTGTGTCGTATCCTTTTCTTTGTCCGTGTGTTCCGTCTTTGTCCCTTTCTTTCCTTTTCGCTTCAACTTGGATCAATCGAAACAATGATTCGCGACGGCCTTGCGATAACGGTACTATACTTTCCAGGCTTATGGCAGTGCAGAATTAGCACTCTCGAGTGCCGGGTACGTTTCCTGTTGTATTATCTGCGACGCGTGCTAGTCACTCCAAAGATAATACAAAAAAATGGTGCAAATAAGAACGAACGTTCTTCGCGATGATTTCTCGAAACAATTTCTTATCTATTTTCTGCGTGGTTTGCAGTTCAACTCTTTGGGGCACGCTGGGATTAAAAGTGTCCCACCTTTTTGATGCACCGTAATGCATGGTGGGACATTTTTAATTAGCTACATGTGCATTGGTTTATATTTCGTCTTATTCACGTAAAGCAGCTGGCAATAGCTTCGACAAATGTTACAAATGTATTCAACATGCCAATACAGGTTCATTTTTTATTAATAAAAATGTACCAATTTTGTTTAATTTAAAACACAATGAAATTTTAATGCAACATGGGCCTATTTTATTATCTGAAATCCTGTGCGGCAAAGAGTTAAACGCGACTGCTCGAGTAAGTGTCCTTAGTTGACCCGAAACGGTATAACACTGCAGAAAGTAAATTGACGGAACGATCCAATCTACGTCGTCCTTTTAACGCGTCGGGGCTCCAATCAGTCTGGCCAGACCGAAAGTATACGTGTCGCAGACGCGACTTATACACGTGCATACATTTGAAACATTTATTGTTTTGCACGGCGGTATTCCGAAATGAAATGCAAAACTTTGCGAAACCCCGACTTTGTATTTAAAGCAGGAGGTTCAAAAGGTTCCGAAAGACTGTGGCACGATGAGTCAGAAAATCACCACGCGAATATACGTGCACGTATCTAAAAAAAGAAAGCGTCAATTCATTCGTTTGCACGAGTACTCTTGGTGTACTTAACCTTATCAATGACCTAACCTATATTGCAAAAGTCTTCGAGCTCCGATCTGTAGCGTGCATATACAGTGATTTGTTACGCGTGTACGCGTACGTTCGAATGTAAAAATGTTTCTTGGGCTTCGTACATCCTTGAACACGACGACTGCATTCAAGTCCCGTGCAAAATCATGGCGCGCGGCAGTCAGTTCGTCGGCCGCGGGCTGCGAATCCGCAGAAAGAAGTTTCCCGACGAATTGTCGGGGAACAAAGAGATGGAACGTCCGAGTCAATACACGGCCCAAGGTCATTGCTACCCGTCGCCGACGCATCCCCGGTATTTCCGATTTTCTTCTCATCCTTTTTTTCCGTCCCGTGCAGTCTGCCCGCGCGCGCGCGCCGCCGCCTGCCCGCCTCGCCAACGAATAAGACACGAAGAATTCAAACGAAAGCCCCTGCGCGGACGTCTGTCGTCCGGTATCTTCGCGCGGACGCTTTGTTTTTCCACCTGGCGTTCCGTGTTCGACACACGTGCGATCGGCGTATCCGTTTCAGATCCAAGTGTTCCAGCAGAAAACACGTGTCAACCAGCCAACCACGCGCAACACGAGCGAAGAAAAATGTGCACGGTTCGCTCTCGAAAACTTTAATTGCGTAGAAAAGGAACTTGCGCGGAGTCGACGCACGTTCCCGATCGCGTGAGTGACTCACCGTCGGTAACCCGCAATTCTTTTTAAAACGATCGTATATATTCTACCTACCTTCGACGTTACGAACAAAAAGCGCCGGAAAGGAAGCCGGAAACCGTCGGAAGATTCTGGCAGCGGCTTCGAATTCGAGGCAATTCGAAACAATTAATGTAAGATTTTTATCTGTTTGTCGAGGTCTTGTCGCGGCCCGTGAATTTCTCACGACCCTGAACCTGCCGCTGAGTCAAGTAGAAAAATGAATGCGCATTTTGGTGCAACGATAAGATAATCGAACGAGGTTCGTCGATATTGACATTGGCAGAAATGTCGACACACGAATTTTATGGAAATTTAGATGTTTTCGTAGGCATTGGACAAAGCGAAAGATTTGATATGCTGCACGATTATCGAACAAACAAACCGAAAGACGTAAACATTTGCGGTCGCATTAAAGGCCATTCGAAGTCTGAGTAGGAACAATTTTGGGCAGTGGTTCTTAACCTGTGTGTTGGTGGATATGTAGATATCTAGGGGCCCACGACACCTGCACATACAAGTTCCAAGCTTATCACTACGACTGTTCCGAGACGTAGTGATAAAAGCTGATATTTAGAAATTTTCAAACGCTGAAAGAAGTACTTTGTCAAGGTGGAGTAGAAATGTACAATTCCCTAAACAATTATTCTTATCTCGTTATTCCGAAGAAGATTGCACAGGAATCCGTAAAAAAAGTGAGGTTAAGAACCACTGATTCAGGGTCAATGAAAATATAACTCCCGAGTACGAAAAACAACGGTAGCGTCGTGACGAACGTAATAAAGAATCGAAAGCGCGACAACAATGAGCGTCGATTAAAATGGCGTTACAAAAATATTAACGATTGACAGAGAAATCAAACGATCGATACGGATACCGGGCTTCTATCTTATCAATTTATTTCCACGCTCAAGAAGTTTTTGTCTCGGTCGACCTTAGTATCAATGTCACACGGCGAATATTCTCGTAAGACTGCGTATTGACGATGATAGAATAAACTAAGGTTATTAATTGCTCAATCGAGTTCGCTAAGGAGAGGCTTCTGATTCGATATAAATAACGAAGATAAAACGACAGTCGGTATAACGATGTTCGATGGAGCTTCCATCGGCATTATTGCACAATCTTCCCGCGGAGGATTGAATCGGTGCGGAAGGTAACAACATTATACGAAAATTTCGTTATCCCTCGTTTTTACCGTCGATAAGTTCACGTTTGCGCGATGAATTTGACCACCCGGGACTCGATTGGTAATTCCATCGACAACGACATTATCCAAGGCTCTTAGGAACATTTTGAAATTCTTTTAAATCATCCGCTTTGGAATTAATAATTTCTTACTGTACTTTGTTGGCCGTCCGTTTGTACTGACCACCGTAAGTCAAGTGACGCCGAATGAATTATTCCGACAGAACCATAAATTGAAGCGATCGTAAAGGTTCATGAAGCGTCGTTAAATAACACTTATATTAACGATCGGGCACGCGTGCAGACAGAAAAACAGTTTCGATCGCAGAAAATGTGACCGTTACTGTAATAATATACGCGTGCATATGGCTGTCGGCCAACGGTACAAAAATTCTCGTTACGTCTAATTTCATCCCGAAGGCGGCGCGCCGAGATCTTCCGCGTTCGAATTATACATATTACCGCTGTCCTTTCATTGAACGCGAAGGCGCGATCGTTTTCGACTGAACTTCGTTCGAGCAACACAGTCGACGACACCGCGCGGTAACATGATACAAATGCACGCGATTATACGAGACGCTGCAGCAGCGAAATCTTTATCGAGCGGATTAAGCAGGAACTATCGAAGTTCATGGATTCACGTAGCACCTGTTCCAAGGATTCGGAATAAACGGTTGCCCCGACAAAGGGCCCATTTACTATCATCGAACTGAAACGAAAACTAGAAAGTCTCGGCGGCGACGTTCAAGTTTACATTTAAGAGCGAACGCGTTTGCTTCGCGTGAATTGCACACCGTTCAAAAGCGAATACGAATGCTAACGAACGCTTGTTCGAACCGTTCTAGAATTCGAAGATAAGTAATACAATTTTCGGTGCCGGGTTCTAAATATCGCCGGATAACATTGCTCGGAAACACGGTCTCTCTTTCATAATACCGGTCGAAACGAAAGTTGCATGCAAAGCAGCCTGCCCCACGTGTCATGGCGGCGCTGAATGAGCCTTTAATTGCAAAGATCGACTATTATTCAGGCCTCCGGTACCCGATACGACGTAAAACCACGAATACGATAATACCGCCCGGCACAGACGGCGTTATACATTGATAAGACTACTTCCGTGACAGAAAATAATCCG